AAAAAAAAAACCTCTCCCATTTTAATGCTGGATTCCCTCACCCCTAAAATCCACAATCACAGCCCAAAGTGCAAAGACGACCAGGAGTTATAATTTAAGTCTGAGTCAGCTGAGCAAACTGGCTTCTTTTAAACTGAATCCAAATAATTGAACACAATTGGGAAAAATCATATATTCATGCAAATTAATTCTTATCCCACTTAAAAACCAACAACAACAAACGACTCAGGCATTGTGGGATTTTGTATTTTCCAAAAGTGGATGCAAAAATATCTTCTTATAATGTAACTTTAGTGACAATTTTCCATATAGGATTATGGAGGATTGAATTCCCTCCACTTAAACATAGGCAGCCTCTTGACTTCGTGGAAGCCATGTTGCCTTCTGAGGCTAAGTCATAAAAAGTAACAGAGCTCTGCCTCCTTTCTTAGGTTTCTTGCCCTGGGAACCCCAACACAAACCATGAGAAAGTCCAAGTAGGCTATGTCAGCTATCTGAATAGGGGCTGATCTTGAGCATGGATCCTCCAGCCCCTGGTGAAGTTGCCCCAGTTGACATCACTTGGGGCAGAAATAAGCTATCCTTGCTGAGCCCTCCCCAAATTACAGATTTATAAGCAAAATAAACAACTGTTGTTGTTTTAACTCATTAAGTGCTGAAGTGGTTTGTTATGTAGCAATGAATAACCAGAACAGATTCTGAGACTTGGAAATGAGATGCTGCTACAATGAAGGTCTAAAACAAGTAGTATTAACTGGGTAATTGGACAGCAGGCAGATGCTGGAAGGGCCTCGAAGCAAGTGACTGTGAAAGGCTAAAGGGCCTTTCGGAGAGGATCTGGGAAAGCCTAAAGAGCTACGAGAAAGCTCTTGGTGAAGGTTTAAAAGACAGAAAATATAATTGGAAGCTAAAAGCAGGGATTCATATGTCAGGTAGTAGTGGAAAGTTTGGTGACATTGACATCTGCAGTAACATGGAAAATGGAAAATTGAAGCAAATAAACTCTATGACTTAGCTAAGGAGATTTCCAGGCAGAATATTTAAGGTGCAACTTAGCATCTTCTGGCTGCCTAGGATAAAGTGTCAGCAGAGTGAGAACTGAAGAATGACCTGCTAAATACAAAGAAGCCAAGAATTTCTGGGTATAAAAACAGAACTGGTTCCTTATTTCCAGTTGTTCCAAATGGCAAAAAAAAAAAAAAAAAAACACAAACACATAACAACAAATAATTATAATAGAGATAAAGTCAAACAATTTATAAAATGCTTACTGAACACTGAGTACAGCTCAGACATGGTCCCAAGTGATGGGAATACAAAGATTAATTTAAAAAAAAAAAAAAAAAATCTCAAATTAATAAGGCCAATGATCAAATCTGGATGGGACTACAAGATAACTCATTAACATCTAAGATCTCAGATAGAGCCACACAGAAACTTTAAGCAAAACAAAAAGACCCTCTAAGGATTTTTAAGGGCATGCCTCATAGATCCTCCCTGTTCGACCAAAGCGTTTCTAAGACTCTCAAGGACATTGTTGCAGAGAAGTTGCATAAGGAGCCCAAGATACAGAAGAGCTTATATCGGCTTGATTGGGAAGGAATAGAGATAGTACAAAATGAAAAGAGGTCTTTTGACCCCTCAAATTTTACAGGCAGAAAGCAGGTGAGAAAGATACTCGGCTGTAAACACAGGTTACTTTTTATGGAAAAAAAAGAATGACTCAGAGGGTGGAACCAACGGCCACAGAGAACAAATCCAATGCCATAGGATTGACCCTTAATCAAGGAACTATGCCTGATTAGACTCATAATTGCCACAGGCTTGTGACTGCTGTGTGTCCTGTTTTCCCTGGGTGTGAATGGGATTGTTGACTTGTGTTCTCCTATGCCTGTGCTACTATTATGGGTGTGTAGGAGAGGAGACTGATAAATTGTCTCTTTAGTTCACAGGTCATTGCCGAGAGGTAATCACAGACCCATACTGTAAGAACTGCACCAGGGAGACTCATGGGCACCCGAACTTAGACTTGGGGCTCATGCTGAAACGGGCTGATGTTTGAGGATTCAGAAGGAAGAAATGAATCTGATTTTGTGACTTGCATATGAGAGGATATAAATTACTGTGGCCAGAGGGCAGACTGTGGCAGATTGCATTTTCCAAAAATGACAAAGAAGTATCTCCCACTCTATATTCTCTTAGTACAAAGAGACTTCGATGCTCCTGCCATCAAGCGGGAGGGACCAGGGATCCCACCTGGGGTCCCTGGTCCCTCCCCCTGAATCTGAGTGGGCTTGAAACAACAGCAGAAATGACAATCTGCGACTTCTAAGTCTAGATAATAATAAATATGATAATAGCTTCCACCTGGCTCTTTTGGGACTCTATGGAGAAAGAATTCCTTTTAGAATCTTAGTGCTGGCCAGGCATAGAGATTTATTTTCTGTTAACAAATCCACAGAGGCTTTATGCACCAAAGTTCAACAGCAGGTTCAGTAAATTCCCTCAGGATAAGAGTGGTTTTAGTGCTCCATTGGTTTCCCACCCTCACCAATGTTTTGGCTCGATTATTCTTGTTAACCAACTGACAAAAAAAGTTCGTATTTAAATGTTATTCAGCTTATATTATGTTTTGTCATCTTTCTGATGCTTTTCCAAAATTTCTTTTTCTGTATTATCATCAACATGTTTATTTATTTGAAGCAGGAGAGTTGTTCTGAGCCTAACATCAGCCTTGTTATTCTGTCCATGTTTGTTTGTTTTTTTTAAATCCCTGTGTCCTCAGTGTGTAGAATGGTGCCTGGCACAGGAAAAAACTCAATTAGTTTTGACTGTTTAATGAGTAAATTTCTGTCTTCTCTGACTCTTTCAGTCCTGCATCTACTACCCAGACTCATCCCTACTTGCAGTGCCCTAATTAAAGCTCTTTTACATTTTCATACACATATGCCTTCTATTTGCCTATGTTAACTGAGCTTTCTTTCCCCTGATCTTCCCACTATTTCCTGTTGCCTCTCCTATGAAAGATTTTTCATTCTTATCAACTCCCATAGTTTGAGATCAGCATTGTCTTCACTCTCTGTGACTACTTCTGGATTATTCACTATTTTTTTTTTGCTTTCATCTAAAATGTGCTGCTCTTCTGAAGATTATGCTGTCTTACTGTCACATTATTTTTCTGATTTTATTGCTGTCATATGTGAAGTTTCAGTCATACCTCCACACTTCTTGAGGGTTCCAGTACCTGGTTCACAATTTCTACTCTATGTCGTCCCCTAACATAATTCAGCAGTATAATGGGGGTACTTAAGAGCACAGTTGGATAAACGAAGTTCAAGTCCCAGATCTACCCCCTATCAATATGTAACCATGGAAAGTAACCCAATATTTCAGTACCTCAGTTTCTTCATCTGTAAAATGGGAATAATTATATTATTACTTTACAGCATTATAAGAATTATATGAAATAATATATATAGAACACTTAGAACAGTACCTGGCACACGGTAAATGCTCAATAAACTTTAACTATTTTCATTATTATGCTCTTCTCTCATCTAAAAAAAAAAATCTTCCTTCTGCAGCTTTACGACTCATACAGCACACTAGCCTCAGTGCTGCTCAAAAACCTATTTGTTCACCTCTACAAAATTCCTTAGTTTATCATCTAAAATGGCATTTCTGACTTTTATTTTAACCTGTCTCAAGATCTAGCTTTTCTTTTCAGCCAATGACCTTTTATCTTAACCCAGAAATTCAATCTATTTGGAAATTCATATTTCAGAATTTCTCTATTTATAACCATGCTCTATTCTCACTTCTACCTGGGGAAAGCAATGTCTATGTTTCCTTAGACTAGCTCAGTATTAACTTCTACCCATTCTGTTCAGTTTTTATCTTCAATCTCTTGGTCTCCACCAGAAAATTCCTCCAACCTCTAAACTTGACCAAGTCTTACTCATCTTAAAATAAACTAGCCATTTCTCTCTTCTATATCTTTCTTCTCATGTTACTATCACATCTCTTCTTCTAATCTTGAAAGGATAACCTATATACTCCACCCCCATTTTCCTATTTCCCATCTCTCAGTGTCTCACTGGTAAGTGTCAGAAATCTGGTTATATCATCCCATCTCTAAAACTACTCTTCAAAAATAAGCAGTAATTGGATTGTCAAACCAAAAAAAAGTCTCTCTTTGAAACTTCTCTTACAACCCTTGTAGCACTGAATGTGTGGATGACCCACCTGAAAATTTTCTCCCTCTTTAGCTTTCATGCGATGACTCTGCGCTCTGAGAGGCAGTGGAGAGGTAATGGTAAGCAAATATGACAGTAGTTAATCATTCATTTTTGAGCAAAGGCCCCACCATGTATTGATCTTAAATAATACACCTAGCTCCAATTTCCTTATTGGTAACATGTATATAATATTTGCTTGACTTCTCACTGGTTTATAATGCAAATAAATAAAATAAAGGACCTGAAAATACCACAAAAGATATTGGTAACATGGGTATAATATTTGCTTGACTTCTCACTGGTTTATAATGCAAATAAATTAAATAAAGGATTTGAAAATACCACAAAAGATATAAAATATACGAAGTAGCTGAGTACACTCTGATAACTTGAAAACAGATAGGACGCAAAAAAGTGTACAAAAGACTCTTGCTACCAAATCTTCTATGAAGTTCTGAAGGACCCAAAACTTCATATCTGACTTAGAAGGTCTTTTACTAGTAAGAGGTTTCAAAGTGCCTTCACCAAGGCAGTACCACTCCCATGAGAACTCTTGCCAGAAGTTAAGAGGCTTCATATCAAAATTCTCTGACTAATCTGCATTTCTTTCAAAATGCAAAATGCAAAAACAAACAAACCAAAACATTATTGTGACTATACTGGGGAACTTTAATTTTGAAAATATTGTAGAAAAGCAAAATATTAATAATATATCTTTCCATATATCAGCATGCAAATCAAGTTGTGAGTAAGAAATATTACCAGTTCTTGGGGAAGGGGCTCTTGCAATTTCTAAGGAGCAAGGTTTCTTGGTAACTGCTGTGTCCGTGAGATCACATAGAAAGTTCTCGTTTTCTGAAGGAAACGTATCCAGAGAAGCAGATGGTACAATTTCCATAGTGTAATTCCTTTTCTTTGGATAAGACTCCTGAAAGGAAGGAGAAAAAATAAAAATAACTTTGTGATAAAGACACAGCCTGTTTAATTTATAAAAACTAGAAAATATAACTGGATTCATCAGTTCTTCCAAAAGTGATTGAGAGGTGATGATTCATCTGTTTGAATAAGCAATCGTGTTACCCCAATATTATCAGTGACCTTTTTAAAAAAGTCTTTACAATTTGTTTCCCCTGAATTTATCACTGAACTAGTAAAGTTCATGATCTCTTGTCATGATCTCTTTTTGCAATATATGTCTATTTTCCAGTTGTGACACAGACTGTTGTTTTATCAATAGTCATTCTCCAGACTCTGTTTTTCCTTTGCCTGCTTCCTTGAGGTAGCCATATGACTCAATTTTGGCCCGTTAGATATATGGGGAAGTTTGCTGGGAGGCTTCTAATAAAATGTTTTTCCTCAGAGAAAAGAAATGCAAGGAGGCTATTTTAGAGTTTTGGCCCTCTTCAGGTTCCTCTTTCTAGGTGAGGTTTTGATGGCTGGAGCTAGGGCAGGCATGTTGTAACCATAAGACAATAAGCCTTAAATCAAAATGGTAACAAGGCCAAGAGTGGCAACAGAAGGATAAAAAGAGACTGGGACTTTGATGATATCACTGAGATATTCAAATATTCCCAGGACCGGTTTCTCCAGGCTTCTTAAGTAAATAATGAAGTTCTTATTGTTTGAACCGTTGCTAATTGGGTTTTCTGCCAAAGTATTACCAACACTACAACTAGTATTTTTCTTTGTGAATACATTTAACTAATATACTAAGGTTATTTTTTTCAGGTTGAGATAAAATTAAGGTCCAATTCTATATTACTGATTCTTAGTTATATTCTAAAAATTGGAATTTATTTCATTTTACGAGATCTTAATTTTTTGTACAGGCATTAAATTGGTCAACAAATATTTATGGTGCATTGTCACATATATCTAGGACTATATTAAATGCTGGAGCTTGTTTTAAAACTAATAAGACATGATCTTGGCCCTCAGAAAGTTCACAGTTTATTAGAGAAGAAAAACAGATTATCTGTAAGATGAATTTCACAAGTAATCATGTTTTGTTTCTGATATTTGTTATCTTTATAAAATATAATTCATTATCAAAAGAAAAAGACAGAAAAAAATAAACTAATTTTCAAAAAATCTTCCAAGAAATCCAAGGGTTAGTAAAGATTTAGTACAAGCTCCTATATTTTCCTATAATGATATTTACAGTACAGATAATAAGTATTCAAGGTCAGTGTAATTGCTTTCAGATCATACTAGACTCTCACACATCAAAGAGTCAATTATGTTCACTCTATTCTATTGAAAGCAGAAAATTGGGAGTAATTTATTTTTAACAACAAAGGGTGACAAAATAGAAAGTGTCTAGAGGAAAGCAATCAGGATGGTATATAATTTAAAAACCATGTCAGAGAAGAAATGATTAAAGGAACTGTAGTGCTGTGTCCCAGAGAAGAAGCATAACAGTATTCTCGTTCTATTTGAGAGGCTACCCCACAAGAACTAGCCCACAAAGTGGGGAAGGGGAGAGGTTGTTATGGTAGATTTATTCTAAAGTTCTTAAAGGCAGAAAAAAAAAGACCAATGTTTATAAGTCAAGGAGTGCAAATTTGGGTCAATACAAAAAATAATTTTTTAAGAGTTAATAGTATTGGTTATCTTTTAAAATAAAAATTCACTAATATATCAATTAGCTAAAAAATAGCACCAGAAAGCAATGTAAATCTTTCAGCAGAACTATCTATAGATAAAATTATGAATAAAACACATCATACAGTGAATGCACCAGATCTCTGTAAACTCTATGAAGGCTGGGATTTTTCTCACTCACCAGTTGATCCCCAGAAGCTAATATAGATCCTGCCACATAGTGGGTGCTCAGTAAATATTTAATGATCAACTGAACAGTCTCTAATGTCTTTTTTAAACAAATCTAACTACCAGTTAGAGAAATGATTATGCCTTTTTAAGGTGTAAATTTATTTGTTTTTCAGCTTCATTATTATTATTATTATTTTACTGTTATTGTTTATCACTTTGTACATCAAAAGTGAAAAAATTAAGATGACAACAATAAGATTGTAAAGAACATGAAAAAAAGAGTTTCTGGCATAAACCCTAGTTCATCTTAAAATTAGATTAGTTAGAACAACCCCATTCTTCATGGATTTGGTTAGGTTGGAACTCTATAGTGTTTATAAAGAATTATGATGACTTTAAAGGCCTTGAAAATACTCTGAAATATAACCACATGGATGAGTTAATTTGCTTTTTCCTTAAAAAGGAAGTATTTTCATTTATGAGAGAAATATTAGAAAAAATAAAGAAAGAGGAAGAAAGTTCACATTGAACCCAGCATGCTCAGATAACTGCTAATAACATTTTGGTGACATCATCTCTCATCCCTGATCACTTCCCTCTGTAAATGTATGTGTGGACATGTGGGTATGTGCAAAGATGAGAAACAATATTTTAAACAACAATGAAATGCACCCTCTTTTGCTTCCTAAGAGAAGGCCATCATTTCTCACTGGAACAGAGAAGTCTGCAGTCCACGGTTTCTTTACAGAAAGTGAGAGCCCTAGGAAGGGAGATGGTAAAACAAAGGTATTGAAACTATGCCTTTGTGGTCAGATATTTCATATTGTCAAAAAAAGAGGAGCATTCTACAAAATACCTGACAAGAATCCCTCGAAAGAGGATGGATATGTGAGATAATAAAATGAATCTGTGTGTGTCCACTTCTCTGTTTAAGAGACAGAGCATTAGCACTGACCCTTCCCGGCCATGTTCTCCTTTCCGACTCCACCCCTGCCCTCGCCAACCAGGGCTAAATCCTGTTCTGAACTTTGTGTTTATAATTACCTGTATTATTGCCAAAATTTAACTATACATACATATGTGTGTGTGTGTGTGTGTATTCATAAAAAATTGTTTTACATGATTTTGAATTTCATAAGTATAGTATAAAATGCTCTCATTCTTCTATGATGGAAGTCAATCAATATTATATTTTGTGTCTGAGTTTCATTTATTTTCCCCCCAAGAATCCACTATAAAAGTATACCACAGTTCATTTACAGATCCTTATGACAGTGGACTTTTAAACATTTCTCAGGTGTTTTGTTATTATAAATAATGTTATAAATATTCCTAAATAAAGTCTCTTTGTACGAATAAGCTAGGTATGTTACCTATTCCAGTAGTCATGGAGCAGAGAGTCAAGTATAGCCACTAACTGAGATAACTTAATGAAACCAAGAGTACTGCATGGACAAAAATTTGCAGCAAGAGGTGATCGTGAGAACTGAGATTGGATGCCCTGTGGAATCTATAGAAATCTTGAGAAGGGCATTATATTTTTCCAATCAAAGTTGGATGAAGGTTCGAGGAATTTTCTGTAAATTTTATATGAAGATATTATGTATAAATATGTAAAGATATTATAGGTAATGTTTTCTAATTTGATATTTACTTTAAAGAATGCCTAGTGAACAAGTTTCAGTGACAAATATATTTTTAAATGACAAATATATATAAGACTAAGTTCCAATATACACATGGTCATAGATATAGTTAATCCTATTGTACTGGAATTCTAATGTTTTGCTTTAAGGGAACATTCTTATGCATTTATATGTGTTTACGTGATCAACTATTTCTTTTGAAAAGAATTCTGTGACAATAAATACACACCCTATGTTTACATATAATTGAATTTGTTTCTGGATTTTCTAATTGGTTCCGTATGTCAGCCTATTATAGTATCAGAATCACATTGTTTTGATTACTAAAGCCTTCAAATTAATTTCACTGTCTGGAAGGATAAGTCTCTCCTTGTATTCATCTTTGTTAAAGCATTCATGATTATCCCCATGTTTATTTTTTTTTTTTAATTTTGACACTTTGTCAACTCCTCAAATCATTCCCTCTCCTTTGTTTCTTGTCAGTAATCAGTACTTCCATACACCAGCCACTCAGACAACCTGAAGGCTATTCTTCAATTCTCATCCTTCCTCAATGTCCTGCCAAGTTAATCCACGAGTCCCATACTTCATCATTGAATTATATCTCAAACATGTTCATTTTTCTCTGCCCCTGCTACCACCCTACTCTGGGTCACCACTGTATCTCACTTGAACTGCTAGAAAAACTTCCAAACTAGTCTCCTTGTCTTTAATCTTGCTCCTCTTCTAATTAATTCACTTTCAAATACTAGCATAAGATTACTAATAGTAAGTCATGTCAAAATAAACTCATTTCATTTCTTCATAACTTTGAGAGAATCATAACATGCTCTAGTCATAGAATATGTTAATTCTTTTTAAACATTTAACATATTAAATATCTCTCATAATATCTCAGAATACCTAGGCTGAATAATTTAATGATTATTAAATGCATTAATAATCCAGATAATAAGCTCATTAAAATAACAAGATCTAGAAGAATAAACCAAAGGTTAAACAGAATCCTATTAATCAATAAGGTAAGATTTCTACAGACCTGTTTGTCTAGCACCTAGCAAAGTGCCATGTTCATAATAGGACTCCATAAATATATGCTAAAAAAAATACATAAAATGATTAATATTTCAGTTAGATTTTAAAGCCTGCATCCTCCACTAGAATTAAAGAACCAAAGGCAAGAACCACCGCCATCTTTTTCACATAGTATGAGCTTAATAAAATTTGTCAAATGAATGAATCAGAAACAATCATTCAAAAACTATCATAGATTCAAATCACTGTAAGAAGAATAGCAATTTCTACTTGTGAAGTGTTTTATAGTCTGCAAAGCAAATAGTATTTCATTTACCCAGATAATTCTTATTTAGCCTCACAGTAATTCTACCAATGTTACTATTATTCCCATCCAAAATCTAAGGTTTAGAATAATTCAGTGATTCATCCAATATTAAACATCTGGTTAGTGGAAATTTCAGTGCTCCAGCCTAGGTCTTATGACAGGAAA